CCGCTCCTGGGACAATGTAACAGGTAACATCACTTTGGTGGAGTTTGCTGCTGCTCTTTTCTGCCCCCAAGGCTGCAGTTGTATGGTAGATGATGAGCAGACAGGGTAAGGAGAGCACCACAGCTCCATGGAGTGCAAAACCCTGTCTTTATGGCATAAACCACTGTTCATCCTCCCTCTAGAGTCAGGGGAGAGGAAGGCCCCTTCATACCCAGTCCCAAAGCCTGGACTCAGACACTTGTCTGCACCTGAGCTATTTACTTTTGGACCTCTCTGGTCCCTGGCAGATTGGTCACTTAGAAGTTTAGGGTGTAATTACCTGGCCAGCTGTTGGTCTCTGCCTTAGGATGGGACTGCCGGGAGCGTAGACATGAGTCCAGAGCAGATAGCTCAGGTGGGTAACGACAGCCCTTCACCCTGAGAGAGGTAAATCCCACTCCAGAGTAATGCCTCAAACAGATGGGCACAAATCCGTGTGCAGTGCTGGTGCTCAGCCCTCCTGGCAAACATGCTCACACTTTTCTGAGAAAACTCCAGAAATGGAATCAATAAAAACGAGCTGTTCCAGGGAGCTGCATCTTTCCCTGGCTTCAAACAGGTCTAACAGCAAACCAAGCTGAACTTTCCTGAGCAGTAGCTCAGTCCCTTCAGCCACCCCTTTCCCCCCACTCTCCTGTTTCTTTTCCTGTCACTACAAACACAAGGTGTCTCTCCTCCTGTAGCTCTCCAAGAAGATCTCTGGGGGTTACCAGAATGAATATTTCACAGAAGATGAACAGACAGATGTGAGCACCAAAGAGCAAGAGCCATCAGAAAAGGACAGTGTCCAGCCAAAGGTGCATGTAGTGGAGCAGCCAGTGCTTCCCCTGCCGTCTGCCAGTGCAGAAGAAACTGAAAGCATCTCAGAGGCTTCTGTAGCTTCCAGTGCCATCCTTGAGCAGGAAGAGAAAGAGGAAGAAGTGGAAGAAGAGCCTGGACAGGAGAAAGAAGTGAAGTCTATCCTCAAGACAGACAGGCGTGCATCAGGGGATGGTTACAAAGCTGTGTGGTTTAAGGCTGATGTGGATCCAGAGGCTGGAGAGACTGTTGAAGTGATTGAGAACACTGCAGCAGATGATGATGATGATGATGATGATGATGATGATGATGATGGTGATGATGATGATGGTGATGATGACAGTAACCAAGATACACAGAAGAATGAGGAGGAGGATGTGTATCACACACATGCAGAGGCAGAAGATGACTCTTACATGTAATGGAAACAGGCCTAACTTCCTCCCAAATGGGGGAATCTCAGCTGCACTGCTGACTTGAAACCCTTCTTTCTGCTGGGGGAGAAACTGGAATGCAGGGGGTGAGGTTGTCTGTCCTGCTTGTCTGAATGCAGCCTGTAAGAGAGATTTTACGCTTCAGTGAGACCTTGGAATATGGCTTCGGTGGTGGGGAAACACGTATCATCTCTTCACCTTCCTGACTGTCCCCTTACATCACCTTTCCCAAACTGGCTGCAGGTACAGCAGAGTTGTAGCTGAACTTGAAGCACCTAGGCAGGGGGTGAGGTTGTCTGTCCTGCTTGTCTGAATGCAGCCTGTAAGAGAGATTTTACGCTTCAGTGAGACCTTGGAATATGGCTTCGGTGGTGGGGAAACACGTATCATCTCTTCACCTTCCTGACTGTCCCCTTACATCACCTTTCCCAAACTGGCTGCAGGTACAGCAGAGTTGTAGCTGAACTTGAAGCACCTAGCCCAGCTTATGGTAGCAGTTACACGACACGTATCATCTCTTCTAATGTTCATCTCCTTGGTGGGTGAATAAATCACTGGTGACTGCTTAGCTTTGCCCTTTAGGGTGTTACAGTTTCATGTCAGCAACTGCCCCTGAGCAGTCTCCAGCAGCTCAGTTCAGGGCTTGGCTCCCCTCTGTGCTCCCAGCACAAGCAGCTGGCATGTGCCATCATGGTCCTCATCCTGCCAGCAGCCAGGAGGTTCTGTGCCCAGGAGCTGCTGTTTCCTCTATTACTGGTAAACAAGGACTGATGACGTGTTCTTTACTGAAGGACTTTGGCATCAATTTCCTATGTCATAAAACCACCAATTGTGCAGTACTTTAGCTGTCTACCTCCTATCTGTTAGGGAAAAATGCTTCTGAGATATTGTCTGCAGTTATGGCCCAGCCAAGTCAGCACTCTATTACAAGGTAGGAGGGCGAGGAAAGCGTTTGATGCCCTTGTCTAGTTTTGCCACTCCCACCTCCCACTCTTCCCCCAGCTGGCACCCAAAAGCTGGGCTGGTTTCCTCTGGCTGAGGACATGGCTGTGTGCATTTGCTGCTTCTGATCATCAGCACAAAATTTGTGCTGCTCCTGTTTTTCTCACTGTGGGCATAGTCACAGAGCAGACATGGGCCGTGAAGTGTTGAACTTCCAGCAAAAGATTTGGGAGTGTCCAGGACAGGGATGCAGCAGAAGGAACTTGAGTCACTAATGTTTATCTCAGTTTCTCAGTTTAGCACAACAGTACAGGATTGCAACAAAGTAAGTCTCATGGTGGAGGAGCAAAACCTATAGATAATCCTGCCTTTTCCCTACGAGCTGATCTCCACTTTGCTGCTGTAACTCCAGATGAACTCAAGAGACAGAGAAACCAAGGAGTAACTGCTGGGATCTGCTTGTACGCCAAAGCACAAATGATTTCCAAGAAGGCCTTTATCCTCTTGGGCTGTGCCCCTGCCCAGTGTTCAGTGCTCAGTTTTGCTCTCCTGTCTCCGAGGAGTGCTGCCCTGGCTGTGTGGACTTCAGGAGCTGCACTTGTGCTGAAGGTGGAGACCAAGATGTGGAAGCTTTCTTCCTTGCTTCCTGCAGCAAAGCAGTTTTCCGGGGAATTACACATGTGGTCGGACTGATAATGGAGGGTGGGGGGTGCCCTGTGTTTGCCATGTAAACAAGGTTCCTCCAGCAAATACTTCCCATGGGACTGTGAGAACTTTCCAGCAGCTACTAATTGCTAGCCCAACACCTTTGGCTACCAGCAAGGGGGAGGTAGGGCCCAGCCTGCTCTCCATGCTGATGCTGCTCAGGTGTTGCTGATGGGTGGGAGGAGCTGGAATGTTTCTCCTCTGCTCTATTTCCCTCCATTGCTGTGCCATGTGTGGTCCGTTCCTGTCCCAGCACACTGCTGTCTGTCTGTCTTCCCTCTGCTGCTGTGCAGTCCGGGTTTCTGGGCACATGTGTTGGCACACTGATTTAGGAGCTCCCTGGATGTGCAATCTCTGCTCAGCTCTTGGTGCATCCCCTTCCCCTCACTGGTATTGGAACTGGACTGGTTCCATCAAACCAGTCTTTTCACTCTTTTCTTCCAGTTCTCACATCAGTGCATACAGCCATGGTATTTGGTGTTTTCCAGGGTTATGCTTGTTTAATTTCAAAGGAGATGATGTTTGGTAAACATTGTGCCTGTAGAAGTGGTTGTTGTTGTTGTGAGGAGAACTAATAAAACTTGGCAGTAGTCAGAGCTCAGCTTCTTCCAGCTATTGCCTGTTAAAGCCTCCAGACCCTGTGTTCCTGACTCCTGTCTGTTTGGAAAGAAGTGATGAAAAATGTGAAAGGCACAAGAAGGAAGTGCAATCATTTAAGTTCAAATCCATGGGAGCTTACCCTCCATCAGGTTGGGTTGGTTGGTCTGCTGAGGCTGGGAAGGTTGACTAACTTTTGGCATTACTGTATAACAATCGTGTTCATTTATAAACATCTGTGTGGGAAGGAAAAACATAAGGATAGAAATGTTTTTAGAAAATTGATTGGATCAGCTTAAGTGTGTTTGGACTGCAAATAGACATCGAATTGCCTCTGAAAGCTCATCCTTACACTCCAAAGACATTAAAATGCTTTTGGAAGTTTAAACCTACAGGTAGATTTAAGAAATCTCTCTCCAATCAAGCTCTGATTTTTATTTCTGTACCAGCTTGGAATGATGTTTGTTTAACATTTGCAATGCAGAGGTATAAGAGGATAATGAACAAATCTGCAGGAGGAAACCCAGCAGTTTCAGAGTGGCAGAGGAAGATCTGGATTTGAGATTACAGATGGGAGTGACACAGCCGCCAGGGAAGAGGATGCTCGTGGCTTTTCCGAGCTTTGAGCACCCTCTCCTGGAGTCCCACACCTGGGAAGTGCCTGATCCACCTTCATTTTGGCCTCTGCAGGCCACGTTCCTTTTCGGCTGCCAGGGGAATCCGGATTGAAATCAGCAGACACAAGCAGGGAATTGGAAAAAAATAAGTAAAGCACAGACATTTTGCTGCAGGAGGTGACAGAATCCCAAAATTCTCCAAGTGTCTGAAAATTCCTTGCTGCTCAAATTCTGTCCCCATTTAGAACTGAATAACCTTATGGATTTCATCAAATCTTCATGGGGTTTGGTTCAGGGCTCACTGGAGTGCACAGGACACTTGTTGGTTCAGTTTAGAATGGCTGGAAGAGAACTGGAGACCTTCCTCCTTGCATGTAGGATAGCAGGATGATGTAGCACTTACCTGAATCAGTACTGAACCCTGATCTCTGCAGTCACATAATCCAGAGAAATTATCCTTGATCTCAAAGAACAACTTCCAAATAATAAATAGTCAGCCAGAGGAGATCTGTTTTAACCTGACTCCCCTTAGATAGAGTGACTTTAGCAGCAAAAGGGATTCTTTTCCTTCAAAAAAGAAGTCAATTCGATTTTATTCTGGTTTGTACAATCGATTTTTTCATTAGTTGGTTACTAAGTCCTCATAAAATAAAACTGACCTGAGCAGTAAATGGAAACTTCAAGAAACAGCATCAACTCCATCACTTGGTATAACTGATGTTATAATTGATGCTATGCTTGGATTTATATATCTTTGTGCATACATATCTATTTTATAGTAGTGTCAGCATGTTAACTGTTGGGTATGAAAGTAACAGATTTTTAGGGAGACACGAGGCTATATATCCCTTTTAGGTATGTCACTGATTTCTTGCCCACATGGTGAAGAAGCAGTCACCCATCAACAACGTGATCACAGTTTGTCCTTAACAGAGACACTTTTTCTCAAAAAAAATTTCTTTTTACCCATTTTTCAATTTTCTTTATGAGAAATAATTTTGTTATTGGTCACCTGTCCAATAATAGCAGCAGCTAATCAGTATGATAGGATATTTCTGTCCAAGTCGGTGCCATTTTTTTGCAGCTGCCTCATACTTCAGTGTTTGCAGATGTAGAATGCAGAAGGGAGCAAGACATATTCACCTTTAAGACCCCAGTTGGATTTTACCAAGTTCTCAACTTTCACTTAAAGGAAGGTGAGTGATGACTTCTCACTTCCCTACAGGAACACAAGGTGATGCTGAAGAACAACTTGAAACTAGTGTGGGGAGCTGTAAAAGCACTTCAGCCATCTGATTAGGTTGTTAAATATAAATTCTTGGCTGTACCATGTAAATAAGGGCAGGAATATTTGTTCTCACTGCACGATCATACTCTGACACTGGAAGCAGCACAGAGATATTCACAGAATCCTGGAATCCCAGAATGGTTTGTGTAGGAAGGGACCTTAAAGCTCATCCAGTCCCACCCCCTGCCATGGGCAGGGACACCTTCCCCTGGCCAAGGGTGCTCAGAGCTCCATCCAACCTGGCCTGGAACACTTCCAGGGATGGAACAGCCACAGCTTCTCTGAGCAACCTGTGCTAGTGCCTCACCTCCCTCACAGGGAAGGATTTCTTCCCAATATCCCATCTAGACCTATTTTCTTGTCTGTTTGAAGCCCTTCCTCCTTGTCCTGTCACTCCAGACCCTTGTAAATTACTGCAGCCTGTTCGGCTAATTAGTTCTCTCTTGGAATGCTGTCGGAGAGAAGGTAATTAACAGGGCTGAGCATCGCATTAACACAGAAATACACCTCTGGGAGTCAGTTTGGGGGTGGCAGATGCTGTATTTGTCAGGGGCACCCGAAAAGTGAGGTTTGCTGTGACAGCAAAGCCGAGCTAAGGCTTGGGTGAGGGGTCACCCCAGGGAAAACAACAACGGATTTAAGGCAGAGAAATAACGTGGAGAATCAGCAGGTGCCAGTGGTCAGGTGAGAGCTGGGCAAGGGAAGCAGCGGGAACGTCCCTTCTGGTGAGAACTGCCTTTTACACCAGATTAGTTCTGAAGTCATTAACTAGGAAATAATTAATTACTCCGCGCTAGCCCATAGGGAACTACAGTTCCCGCGA